GATCTTTGGCGGTAGCTTAAAAACGTCTGAATAAAAAATGGACTGAAGGGACTCGACGAGTCGCATGGCCGACTCGACGAGTCGGATGAAGATTGCTTGTATTGGTCCTGCATGAACTCGGCAAGTCAGTAAGAAGACTTGACGAGTCAGTTAGGGTTTTCCCGATATTTGGACACGTATGGACTCGACGAGTTGTTAGCTGCACTCGACGAGTCGAGTCAACATGGACTGTTGACTTTGACCGTTGACTTTGACTTTGACCAAGGGTTGACCAGTTGGACTTTTGAGGGTATTTTGGTAATTTGGGATTCTTATGGACTTGGTCCTCTGGTGGTTATAGGTGGTTGAGTTCGTGACAGTGATTCGGGAGTTTGATCTTATTACTACAGTTCGACATTATGAGGTGAGTTTTCCTCACTATACTCAAGGGTCTAAGGCACCAAGGCCGGCCCTTTTGGATTGTTATCCTGATATGTTATGCTAGTATGATCTGTTAGATCAGTATCCTGGTAGATAGGATGATGTTATGCTAGTATGATCTATTAGATTAGTATCCTGGTAGATACGATGTTATTATGCTGTTATGATATGCTAGATCGGTTTTCCTGTCTATAGACTGTTATGTGATTATCTGATATATGTGCACATGTTTGATTGGTGGTTGAGGCTTAACTGCTTTGTACGAAAGCTAACAGACATGGGCATTCCGACCCGATGGTTGTGGGCCGTGAGTATTCCATCCCGAGGATGATTGGACTCGTAGTATGTGGGCATTCCAACCCGATGGTTGTGGACCGAGGGTATACCATCCCGAGGATGACTAGACCCGCAGTATGTTGGCATTCCAACCAGATGGTTGAGGGCCTGGGGTATTCCAACCCGATGATTGATTGGACCCATAGTATGTTGTTTGTGTTTATGTGTATATTGTTGTGTGTATGGGCTTACAGCTCCTCATTAATCTTCGGGCTTACAATTTTAGTTTTGGTTTCAGGTACTACGGATGATCGCAGGAAGGCGAAGGCGTGATCATACAGCTCCTCATATTTTATGATTTTGATTTATGGGATACTCTGACATGAACTATTTTGAAAACACTTTGTAATAACTAATGATTTTTAATTGGTTGAAAAAGTTTTAAATTGGCTTGAATTTTATGGATGTTACATTATCCCTTTATTATATTAAATTAGTTACAATTGTTGACCCTAATTATTTAGTTAGTGCCCAGCAAGAAACACGAGCGTTACATATTGTTCTAGTGATAGTTATGATTAACGGTATGTTACGATTATTAGATACTCTGATTGCTTATAATATTTGTTTATTAGTTTTGTTTAAAGTATGTTTATTATATATTTTGAATGTTTAAAATATTTATTAAACAGATGGCAACACATTTCACGAGGGGACATGTAAGAGATGGCGGGGAAAGACGTCCACATGGGGGCACATACAAGATAGCAACGAGTTGTGAATCTCGTAGGTTACATGAAATTCTTAATTATGACCTATATTTTTAAAGTTCTAATTTCTAAATTTCCAATTATATGTGTCAATGTAGCAAACCTGAAATAAGTATGTGGCAAAGGAAGAAATTTAAATATGCATGCAATGTATAGGGCCAACAATGAGAATCTTTTACCCGTGTGAATTGATAGCGACAGGGAGACCTATCGATTCCTAGGGAAAACTCGCAAAATGTTAACGTGTTTGATCTCAAATTTAGTGGCATCAAATGTACCACTCTATTCTATTATAGGTCTTTGGCAGTATATTCCTTTCAAATACAAAGAATCTATGTATCCTCATTGTCTTACTCGTGCCCTCGGTGAGAGACGCGGACATACTTGCGGAGTTGGAAGGAACCAAGAACCAACAATCATTTAATTCCAAATTGACTTCCCTCTAAATCTTCCAAAACCCAATCTCAAAATAGGGATAATACCCAATTTGTTGCATTAACCCAACAAATGCAACAATACTTGCAACAAATGCAAAAAGGGGATAATAACTCCTTGGCGGACGTAATTCCTAACTTCCAACCACCACCAATGCCACAATTTCAATTCATTCCATATATGTTTCCACAAAATACCTCCGAACCAACCAGCGAGACCGATGAGACTGAGGAGAAGGATGAAGATTGTGGTGATTGATATTTTATGTTAATTTGAACAATGTTTGTTGAAGACTTTGTTGTTGTTGTTATTGTTGTTGTTGTTGTGGTATGTAGTAGACTTTAAGTCTTGAATTTGAACTATGATGGTTTATTATGCTTATTTAGTGTGTGACATTACGCTGCATATTGTTTGGATTTGTTTTAAAAAACAAGTTTGGTATATATAATAAAATTTGTGAAAAATATTAAAAAGCTAGGCTATACCGGCGACATGTCGTCAACATAAGTCCTAACTGTAAAAATAGTTTTGACCTATACAGACGACAAGTCGTTGCTATAGCTCAAATGGAAAAAAAACTGTTACCCACTTTTCCCCACGACGGGTCGTCGCAGTAGGTCAATGTGTCCCGACGATAGGCCGTTGATATAGATTGTCTCTATATCGACGACAAGTTGTTCTTTAAAAGTAAATAATAAAACTTTTTTTCCTCGAAAATCACTTCCGACGACCCTTTTCCCATGACTTGTCGTCCGTATTGGGGTTTATCCCGACGAATTTTTTCGACTTCCACCGACAAGACTGTACCGGCGAATTTATAACGACGACTTTTCGTCAGTATAAGCTTTCTCGACGACATGTTGTCGGCATAGGGATACTATATGTCGTCGGAATAAGGGTCTTTTGTTGTAGTGTGTATGTAAAATCTGAAAATATCATATTATGTCGGTATCCGACAAACAAGTTCTAGAACTAAGTGTTATGCTGTTGATTATAACGTCACCTATCATTTAGCATAATAATTAGAATAAGCACAAGTGCCAATGCAAATTTAAACGATGATATAATACAAATTAAATAGTGTTGAGTGCATACTTAGGCTGCAGGGAGTGGCTCGCCAGCTCACTCGCAAACTCTCTTGCCATGTCTTCGACACCATTCCTTACCCTCCTTACCCAGACGCTAAGCCTCTCAGTTCTTCTATGCCCACTAGCTTCTTGGCGAGATGAAAGAGAATAGGAAGAGAAACATAGGTGGTCCCCATTTGACCATTTGATTATTTTGCCAAAGTTGCGGTGAAAATTCACAAAAATTGGTTACAACATGTTAAACCTTTCAAAAGCTAATATTTTATCATCCTATCCATCTCATGAGTGTAAATAGAGATTATGGTCTAGCTTTGGCACACTTTTACGAAAATAGAACATTTCATAGTTCTTTTTGTGCGAAAACAAAAGCTCTTGGCCATGGAAGTAACTCGGCTTTAGGTTTTAGTCATACCATGTTTGTTTCTGCTGAATTTCCCCCTCTAGGGATGTGGTATTTCATATAGGTACTGTCCATGCCAAGAGATATACATGGAAACAGGACAAATATAAAACAATTCAAGTATATACAATCACTAATATAATATCAAATCATTGAGTTATTGATGATGAAGTCTAATTCAGGATCCTTTGGAGATTGAAATTAACGCATTGGACCACAAGTGATTATATTTTCGATTCCTTAAAACTAGGATATATACTTGTCTTATAAGTTATAAAACAACACTAGACGAATATATGTGTTGCGCAGAATACAACAATATTTGAAATCTTTACAAATATATGTTTTTAAATATATCAATGATGTTGTTAGCTCTTATATAATAAATCTTATAATCAGTTAGTATAAACACTGTTTGTTTTGATTTTTATGAAAATGTAGACATCTTGTCTCAATGGTATCTACTTGCGGGTTGTTCATGAATAAAATTAAATATAATATATGATTTAATGATATTTATAGTTGTTATTATGATTAGTTAATTTTAAAAAGTTTATTTGCTTAAGATTTTAATTTTTATCATTGTAATTATTTAAAACATCAAACTTTGTTTTTGTTTTTAAAGGTAACAATATAATTTTTGTATATAATGTTACTTTTAACTATTGTTGTTGTAAGTTATTTAAAATAACGTATTTGGAAACTCGTAATTATTTTAATTTGGATTCAGAAATTTAACTTTTTAAAATTTTATTTGATGAATAGTGTTAGTTTTTTTATTGTAATTATTTAAAATAACAAACATTGTTTTTTTGTTTATAAAGATACCATTATAATTTTTTCTATAATATTTATTTTTAACTATTCTTATTGTAAGTTATTTTTAAGTTAATTATTTGAAAATTTTTAATGATTATAAAAAAAATAGTTTCATGATTTTCTTTGTTAATTTAGAATTACAATTTAGGTTTAACATTATAATTTACAACTTTTAACTATTTATAAAATAGTCTTTCGTTTTTTTTAAGTTTAACTGAAATTTTAATTTAAGTTAACCGTTTAACATTATATTGAAATTAATATATAATTTAACTATTTTACATAAAATCATAAATTATACAAAAGTTGTGATTTAAAAATGACAATTGCTCACATACGATAACATATCTAAACTAATAAGTTAATTATAATATGTTAAAAAGTTAAAGTCATAATTTTCTAAATAGATGTAAAATATGATATTTTAATATTGTAGTTTAGTTAATTTATAATTAGAATTTAGTTTTTACATTAATTTAATATTATTAAATAATTTATAATAATTATTAGAAAGAAATTAAAAAGTAATGGAAATTAGTATAATGCAAGTAAAAATATTTTTATAAGTATATATAAAAATTTTGTGTTTGACTCCCTCTAGGTGTCGGTATTGATTCTTAATGATCGTGTGTTATGACCTAAAAAGGAATTCAAACTCAAGATCTCTAATTTACTTTAAAAATGTCAAACCGTTCACAAACTCAACCAAGTAATAATTTCAATGACGCATAACACAAATAAATCAGCTAAGGATTATTCAAGATCAGAAGATAACTTGTTACAGGTAGATAATCATCCTGAAGGATCTAAGATCTTGTTTAGCTCCTCCAACTTCTTCATCCTCGCTTTCTCACTTTGTTTCACCAACTACAAAAATTCCAATGAATAGTTAAACATTACACAAAAAAGTTGGCTGAATCAAATTTGATTCATTCAACTATTACTTGAATTACTTGTTTTACCTCAACTAGAGTGATTGTAAGTTGATTCCTTTCGACATTTTTCTGGTGTAATACCTCCATTGCTTCTCTATACTCTTTCTCCTGTTTTCAGAGGTCACCCTTAATTCTTGCCATCTTTTCGGATTGTATTTCACATTATATCAACATTTTACAGCCTAGTTTCATACCTTCTTGTGACAACTTTGTCCCAGTGATCTCAGCTCTCGGTTAGCCATATCTATCTTCTTTCGCACGATTATCACGTCTTTTCTCGTGGGATCTGTCAAAAGCTTGATATCCTTGTATTCATGCAAAGAAAGAGACAAAAACAGCTTAGCGTTAGATCATCACGTACGATCATGGTGGTGAATGGTGATGTTATCTTCATTAGGTTAGTTATGTTGGTACTTAGGTTTCTCGAGCTTACTTCCCAAACTTGAGCCAGACGTCTGGTCTCTTCTTTTGCACGACCTAACTGAAACTCGACCTTTTCCTTCACTTGCATCTTCTTCATCTGTATCTCTTCTTCTCTTGCTTGATACAATGCGATAGCTCGTTTTTCTTCTTCATTGTTTCCATCAACTGATGCACCTGTTGGGAAGGTTGATATATTCTTCATTCTGCTCGTTTTTGCGGGTAGTTTGTTGTGGAAAGCCGCCCCTTTGTACCCTCCATGGAGTTCCTCTCCTCTTTTTCTTTTGCTTTTAACTTTTTTTTTTCTCCATGCATGTCACGCACATGGTCTTGTTGCTTTTAGTTTAAACCAGTTGAGAAGCAAGTTGCGAAGATTGTTAGTATACATTTGTTTCATCATCATGGTTCAAGTTTGACGAAATAACTAATTATGGTGATGATGGGGGTTTAAAAGAATAATTTCTTTTTTTTCATTTAACGACTTGTATTTGGTGCAACGGAAGCAGTAATCTATTGGCATGATTAGGTCAAATGTAAACCTCAGTCTACTCATGATCGATTTGCAACTGGCAAATGGGCAATGGGTCATGACAGAAGGATGGAGAAACACCAGTCAAACAGCTAAGTGAAACATGTGAAGCTCATAAGATTGGATAACTGATTTTCTTTAATCACAAGAACGACCATTGGTGGAAGCTTTTGGGTACTTGATTATGATCAAGTATAAGTTTATATATGTATGGATAACTTTTTTCTTGCGAAAACAAAATGTTATGTACATAAATAATTGTTTGCTAAATATATATAATCTATTTCATAAAAACAAAATAAACGGAACTTCTTTTATAAAATCAAAACCGTGATTCAAACGGAACTTCTTTTATAAAATCACGGTTCGAAATGTAATTTAGATTAATTCTTATCAAAAAAATATAATAGCATTTCACTTTTAAATTTTTTCAAGATTATATATCACGATCAGTCACCCTTTAGAACCTATTATTTGTTGGAATATCATAATTAAACATGTCATATGCCAAGTTTTTCAAAAATTTCTGCGAATAAATACAACTTACGAAAATTAGATATAATGGGAGTGCGTGTGAATCCCATATGGTTGGTGAGATAAACAAACTAAAAGTAAAAAATGTGGAAACTGATTCGCCCTGCTTTTTAGCTTAAAGGAAATAAAACTAAATAATTTTCTGGATCTAAAAATGCTGGGCTTCGGAATTTGCATATTAAAAAGCAAAAAATGATCGGCCATGGCCCTCTTTGACTGTGTCATCAATGAGCCCAAAAGAATCTTACATAGTAGGCTACCCCATTGGAGGGTTTTAAGCAATCTGGTTACCAATTTTTTAAATAAAAAAATAAAAATTAAATGATTAACAGTGAATTAGGCCACCGCTCACTCAATTTCTTTTCTTTTTTCTTTTATACGTTATATTCTATTTTTTATTGATTTGTAATTTATACATTATATATTATCTCAATAAAATTAGCAATAAATACTAAATTTTATAAAAAAAAAAGTTCTCTTTAAATAGAGTATAATATCGATATATTTCCTATTTAATTTTAATTTTTTATTTATAATAAATAGTTGGTTTAAGTTGGATTGTTAATGGACTGAAAAATTTGTTGGATTGGGTTAGGTGGAAGGAAGAAAAACTTAATTTTTTAATAGAAAATTTGGGTTGGGTTAGGTTGCAGATGGAGATAGTCGTAGGAAATTTTCGTTCACTAATCCGTTTGGAATCAAATGGCCTCCGACATAATTTAGTCGTGAATTATCTCCGCTAATTATTTGCAAATGAATAGTTTTCTGTTTTTAATCCTATTTACTAATATAGTTAGTGACATTCTATCATGTCAAATATTATCATAGTATTAATAAATTTTACTTATATATAAAACAATTATATTTAAAGCCTTTTTTTTCCGTACAAAACCTTGAAAATCAATGAACCGGCGATTATGGTCATAAAGAAAAATCTTCGTTGAAACATAATGGTATGAGTTTCTTATGTAAGTAGAAATGTAGAAAAATAGCTCACTAATTCAATAAATTGATTATAAATGTTACATAATACATCTAATCCTCTTACTAGAATCGACAAAAAGGATAGTAGATTGAGATGAATTTTTCAACCTATTTTATTTAAACACTTCAATGTGTCTAACTTATTTAAATAAATCGGTTGACTTGGTTATAAAATTATCAATTGTTTTCAACCAACTAACCCACTTAAATTAAATATATAATTAATTTTATATTTATATACTATTATTTAATACTTTAATTACAATTAATTTTATATTTATATACTATTATTTAATACTTTAATTACAATGTTATATTATTATTTATGTTTAATTTTTTTTTTCATAATTCTCATTTCTAACATTGGTGCCAACAACATTACACACTTTGGACCTTACTCCATAATCACGCCTAATGATGCTCAACAACGAATTGTTGAACTTGAACCCTAGATATAGCATGCCAAACTCTTATTCTCTTTTGCGACTCTCTCTATATAGATATATCTATATATATATATATATATATATATATATTAGATATAGATATATTATTATATATATATTATATATATATAGAGAGTCGCAAAAGAGAATGCGACTCTATATATATATATATATATATATATATATATATAATATATATATCATATATATATATATATATATATATATCTTATTCTCTTTGCGACTCTCTCTTAGCCTAAACAACCTCTTTCTATTTGACGTCTCTCTCTTTCTCTCTCTCTCTCTCTCTCTCTATATATATATATATATATATATATAATATATATATATATATATATTATACTAGTCGTATCCCCGCGCGTTGCGCGTGAATATAAGTATTTAATTAAATTAATAATATTTAACAAATTATGATTTAATATTTATACATGTAAAACCAATCTTAATAGCAAAATAAACTCTATAGTTAACATGTTAGTTTTATAAGTTTTAATAAATTTATATCATTAGTTATTTCCCCTATTAATTCATGATTTTATAAACCATTTTTTGTTGTGTAAATTATATATCAAACATATATTGATTTCTATATATAAAAAACAAAATAGTATGAAAAAATAAATACTACAACTTTTGATGATTTTATAGAACGTTTTAAGTTGTGAAAATTATAGATAAAACATATGTCGGTTTGTATATAAACAAATAACAAATCATATGAAAAACACTATAGCTTTTAATAAAATCAAAACACTACAACATTATAACATTTACACCAAACAAAACTTATTAAAAACTTATAAATCATTCAAAATGAATATTTAGAAATCAACATACATTTGATATATAGAAATATTGTTATAAAAAATTTGTGTTGAAATAACCATTTATACGACAAAACTTATTTTTTTTTTCAACTCTTTAATTTCGAATTACAAATCTTTTCAAACATATGATTTTTTAATCGAAACTTACTTATATACTACTAATATAGCTACAATGTGTATAATAAAGATGTGGAAAATAAAAATGTATTGCACATTAATAACCATAAGTTTAAAAAACTTTTGAATGTAGTGGAAAATATAAAGGAAAATTACTTTAAATTTGAAATCATAATTACATTTAAAGAAAAAAAAAACTATTGAGTTGTAGTGAGAGTTTTTTTGGAAAGGGAACTTCCCTAACGAGGGTTTCCGGGCCAGCTTTCGCGCACCGACTAATCTCCCGCTGCAAATATGAGGCTTTGCCTCATGCCCTGGAGTCACTGCAGGCGAACCTCCATGACCACAAGGGTTGAGTGGTGCCAGGATTTGAACATGGGTCAATATGTTATCCACCATATCTTCCACATGTCTTACCAAGTCACCACAACCCAAGTGGTTTTGTAGTGGGAGTTTTAAACTCTTGATTTGTGCTCAATAATATAATATAAATATTTGGAATTATATGTTATAAAAACGATATTATAAGTATTTATCATTGAAATAATAATTTTTATACTAAGTTGTAACTAATATTATAATAATTTTAAGTATACGATAAGAAAGATATAAAAAATTGTGTTTGAATCAAATTGAATTAAGTTTTTGATTTAAAATTATTTTAAACTATACTTATTTTTAACTAATTTATAAATAATTTATTTGAATATTTTTTATTTCCTATATTATTATTATTATTATTATTATTATTATTTCAAAAAACAATACTTTATTAATATAATATAATCTATTATTTAGTTTTACGTTATTTTAAACAATTATTACTTTTTACTAATAAAAAACTACTTATTTGAAAATTTTCATTATTATATTTAAAAAACTATCATAATTTTTTGTTGTACTTTTATTTTTTTCCTTAAAGTTATGAAATATTGGAAGAGAATGAACGGTCCAAATAAAATGGTAATTTGAATTTTAAAACTATAATAATTGTTATGTACTGCGACCAATCTTAAAAATAATATGGTAAGAGTGGGTTAGAGGAGAAGGAGTGTTACACTTGAGGTATATTTTGATCACTTATATTTTCTTATGAAAATATTAATATTTTATTTATTTTACTTTTCTTTTACGATAAAGAATGAATAGGAAAAAAGGAAATTAACAAATGTAATAAGATAATTTATTTTTGTTACTATAAAAACATTTAAAATTGGGTACATCTATATAAGTTTTGGTAGAACATAAAGAATTCATTTTTATAACACACATAATTATTGATTTTCAACAATAAAGTCATATCATATTGAAAACCATTCGTTCTAATTCGTCATTATCACCAACAATTTGGAATAATAATTGTAAACTACTTTCATCAAAATCAATTATAAAAAACTTCATCGATGTTATTTACCAAATAAGCTATAGAAACTAACATAGTATATACATAACATAAAATACATGTTGAATAATGTTCTATTGTACATAAAATATATTTTCTTAACACAAAAAAGAGAGAGACAACATAAAGATACATACATGTTAACAAAGTTAATTGCTCTAACTTATAAATAGCTTGATGGTTGATTTACCAAAAGCTCATGAGAAGTAATTATCGATCTCACATCATCATCATGTGATTATAGAAAAATGCATAACACATAAACTTAAAAAATGATCTCAAGTATGCATTTACAAACATACCTAAATTTGAACCTTGGTTAATATCTAAAACTTTACATGCACC